TGCTTTGTTGTTAAATTTACAAGCCCGATTTTAAGCTTATTTAACATAGTTTTGTGTACGATTATTTTAGTTGTTATTCATTATCTTCTGTTCCTTTCCTCCGCTCTTCTTCAATGCTGAAGTTTTGTAGCTTCGTTAAAGAAAAAAATATTTTTAACGCTAAAAATTTTCAAATATTTTGGTCCCCATGAACTTCTTACTATTTTTCCATTTGACACGTAAATATTTTATATGATTCTGTAATATTTGTTTCCCCTTTAAATTGCCAAAGTTTGTTTGGCTAACTGCATCGTTAAATTCACGATAGTTTCGTTTTTTTTAATTAGTTGCCTGTATTAGTTGGCCAGGTCAAAACTGGAAGTGCGCAGGTTGAAGCTCACTGCAATTAATTTTATAACGTTTCTGGTCTCGGTTGCACAGGCTGAGACGCTCTCATATGGTTAAGGCAAAACAAGGCTTCGAATAACAATTTCGTTTGACATTTAATGAAGAAGAAACTCTGATTCATTGTTTGGGGATGAATGGTAATTATTTTTATCTCTTATAGTAGGAAAAGTTTTACCTCTCACGACTTGAATATCAATTTCAATTATATCGTTCTTCCGTCCGAATATTTCATTCTTTTATTACTTTAAAATAACGGTCTTAATTTTCGCCCTTTGCATCTTATTAGTAAGCTTCGATACTGTTATCTAACATATTAATTTTTTGTACCCATATCTTTTTGTATTATATATGCGTTTAGAATTTTTTGAATGTTAACCAACGAGTTTGTGCTCTGCCATAGCCACTTACATCCCCAGTCCTTTTGATCCACTTATAAGCCTAACCCCAGTCCATTTTCTCCACTTATATCCTCAGTCCTTTTGATCCACTTATATCCCCAGTCCCTTTGCTACACTTATATCCCCAATTATATAATAGAAAAAATTAAAAGCAAAAACACTCCATATGCAGGCTCGTGCACAGGCGCGTGGTCATAAATATTAAGGTCCATCAGCAGGCCTTTTCGTAGATCCCTGGGGTATCTCCCCTGATCCTCAGTATTGGGTCCAATGACCACCATTGGTCCCGAAACAAATTTCAAAACAACCTTTTTCTTGGCTCCGTTTGGTATTGTCGGTCGAGCCGCCGTCGCTTTTCTATCGACACTTTTCTGGTAAGTTGTATTTTCATTTGCGGTGAAACTGTTATGGTTGTACGCTGATGTCGATTTTTTGGCCATGAATATCTCAGTCATCGCTTTTTTCGTTCTGTTTTTATTTTATTATTTGATTTGTATACATTATTTTTTCAAGTATGAATATTTGACCGAAGGCATTTACTTCACCTCATCATTTCTACAATTTCGTATGACATATTAACTTCATATGCCTGCAGAAAATGTTCACGTAACGGCGTCCCCGTCGGTTACATTGAAAATGCATGTAAAATGCGTCGGTTACGTTGAAAATAACTTGAACAACGCTGTCTGCTCTAAGGAGTCGAACAAACTCTGTTCCTGTCTTTGAATTTACTTGTTAAAAAACCCGATTTGGTATTAAAAAGAAGTTTAATTTATTTATTAGGCAAATATTCACGATTATGTAATGTTCCCCACGATGTTATAATTTCGTTGGCACTTGCTTTTTAAATTTTGCATATCGTTTGAGGAGCGTCGTCTCCCCGTCCGTCTCATTACCTACCTGAATCCAAGTTTCGGTCTGGTTTCATCCAAGTTTCGAATCGGTCTGAATCCAAGTTTCGGTCTGTTTCCATCCGTTTTCTTGCTATTCCCAATCCAAGTTTCGGTCAGGTGTCGTCTCCCCATCCGTTATTCTTCCCACCTTCCCCAATACAAGTTTCGGTCTGGTGTCGTCTGCCCATCCGTTATTCTTCCCACCTTCTCTAATCCAAGTTTCGGTCTGGTGTCGTCTACCCATCCGTTATTCTTCCCACCTTCTCTAATCCAAGTTTCGGTCTGGTGTCGTCTACCCATTCGTTATTCTTCCCACCTTCTCTAATCCAAGTTTCGGTCAGGTGTCATCTCCCCATCCGTTATTCCTCCCACCTTCTCTAATCCAAGTTTCGGTTTGGTGTCGTCTACCCATCCGTTATTCTTCCCACCTTCTCTAATCAAAGTTTCGGTCTGGTGTCGTCTACCCATCCGTTATTCCTCCCACCTTCTCCAATCCAAGTTTCGGTCAGGTGTCGTCTCCCCATCTTTTATTTCTCCCACCTTCTCTAATCCAACTTTTGGTTTGTTGTCGTCTCCCCATCCGTTATTCCTCCCACCTTTTCTAATCCAAGTTTCGGTCTGGTGTCGTCCCCCCTTCCGTTATTCTTCCCACCTTCTCTAATCCAAGTTTCGGGTTGATGGCGTCCCACCGTCCGTTTTCTCACCCTCTAAAATAAAGTTTTGAAACTTTTGAGTCCCCACTCCGTGAGGCGCTGCATATGCCCTATGATGCCCGGCTGGCCCAGCTGAGGGGGTAGAGTTTGAGCTGTTATCGATTTGCTGGGCTCCGTGCGCCTGTGGCTGCTGGCTTGTTAAAGTGCTGCTGCTACACGGCCTCTTGCTCGTATGCATTCTACCCACTACCTGTAAACTTACAGGATGAGTGATTGCGTATCTTTATTTAAATATTATTAGGAGAAACATTACAAGCATTTTGATGCATTTATGCTCGGCGATATGAACGCGAAAAAAAAAGGAATAAGAAGTAAGAACGCTCCTAGCTGAGACTTAAGTATGACTGAATAACCGTGTTTGCTATTAAAATTTGTGATGCAAGATAAACAAGTTGGATTGTATTGTAGAACCTGTTTTTGTATAAAAGGTCAATAGGTTAAATTTCATTTGAAAGCGTTAATCGTATGTTTTTCGGTAAAATAATTAGGACATTTTATAGAATATGGTTGTCAATCTGCACCAATCCAATCACGCTAATGTGTTAGATTTTATTTGGAAAGTTGATCGTACATCTTTCTGTAAATAACTTAAAAAAATTACAGATGTAGGTCGTGTTATCTTGCATACATTCGATCACGCTACTATGTTTTGTCTGTTTTTTATATTTTTTATTGCCTTTAACTGTCATTTCCTCCCTACTTCCACAACAACGTACAGAAAGAAAGGTTATCCCGTTAATCAGCCAGGTTTTATTTGCAATTGGTATCCTATTTATTTCCTCGAAAAACTTAGCTACAAACTGATCACAAAGGTATATCTAATTGGCGTCACTATCAATAGTCGTTGATGAGCACCCAATAGCCGAGAAAAAACTGTTCAAACTTGGGGCTGTTTTTGCCCCGGTGATGTAGAGACAAACTAGTGTGTTGACAAGCTTGGAACAGCTCGTGATTGCGGCCTGGATAAATTACTCAACTGATTCCCTTTTTTATTGAGAACTCAAGATTTTTATTAATAAAATTAGAATTAATTAATTATTAGGTTTAGTAAATATATTGATTTTCTTGTCGTATTACATTTCGCGAATTTTGTATCATATCTGGGGCCTGGTAGAGCATGGAAACGCTGTTGTATTCTATATTGCAATGGAAACTTGGTCAGCTGAGGTTTGGTTTTGGTGTGTTACGTTCATATTTGTTCTACTTAATCGCCAGGTATCTCCATACTCTACTTCATGTATAGTCTGACGTTAATAGTAGATTTTGAGCACCTTCCTATTAAGGTGCACTATCAAGGTTCTAGTCGTGAGTCTTTTCTTCATAGATACTAACTTAACATCAACTCGGATGATGGTTATCAGTGATAGAAAATTTTCTATCGAAAAAGGCCATTAATATTTTGTTTAGACTTCCTTTCAAGGCCTCAAGTCAAGGCCATTCTATGCACATGGTATTTTGAGGTGAATCATGGTTATGCAATCCCCGTGCATGGTAATCAAGTCGAAACAGGTGAAGAGAAGCTCAAAACAAGGCAAATATCGACTAATATAAGATTACACTGGTCTGTGGCTACTAGCGTTCTACTGACCTTTAACATCAAAACGCCAATGCGTCTACCGTGCTTGCTACGTAGGAAAGTTGGAATACGGTTTTTGGAGTATAATTCATTCTTATTTAATCTCAACATCCGTCATTTGTTTTATGTAAGCATAAATAATGTATAAAATTGGTTCATTTATTTTAGAGAAACTGATCGAATCATTGTTCATTAATAATTTATCAGTCACAATAAATACTTCAACCAAACCTCGGGATTTATTTCAGTTTCAGTTGAACATCGTAGAAAATGGGTGCAGTAGCGAAAACGTCATCAAAGGGAAAACTGCGCAAGTTCTTGATCATATATGTACCTCCTAGGCCTCTTTATTTTAACAATATTTATCGTAAAAAATGAGCAAGACGCAAGCCGCTCATGCAGTAACGGCACTGCACCTAACTTACGACGCCCTTCAACTTTATGAATGCCCAGTATATATCACCTGTCCAAAGACTTGTGATTATATTCAATCAGGAATGTAATATAAGTTTAGGCATTTTAATTACCGGTCCGAATCGTCCAATCAAGAGTGTTTTTTTTCGTTAAAAATCTACCTATGGTCGGTCGAAAAGACGGTACTTGTAAATGTTTTAGATCGACTAAAGAATTTCAAGGCTCTTTTACTCGTTGAATTTAGAAGATATCTTTATAACATTTCAGTTGAAGCCGCACGAAGCGCAGTGAGTTCAGTGAGGCGGCGACGGGAGTAATGTTGATGGTAGTTGTTAGAAATACAGATTCTTTTCAACTCTTCATTCAATATTACGAAATTTCTGTAACTTTAATTTCAGCAGGTATAATAGCTTCGTACTTCGGTTTTCATCATTGCTCCGTGTGCAAAGATGAAAACATTTCGACTCGCTCAGTCCGTTATAAATTTACGCCTTTCGACGGCTGAGTATCTATTACCTACATTTTATTTTTACTGTAGCTCTTCATAGCAAAAAAAATATATTTTGATCACCCGAAAATAATTAATATTATTGATTGACACAAAAACATATTTTTTCAGCTGATGCGTCAGCGGGAGGCGAGCGTCAGAGACACTGACAGGTCAGAGACACTGACAGGTCGAGACCGATGCCGCCCCTCCAACTGACAGGTCAGAGACACTGAGTGATGCATGTACACATTTACAGCTACCCAGTGTTAGGCCATTGGTGTGAGTCATGAATGCCTAGTATATATCACCTGTCTAGACTGGTAATTATATTCAATCAGGAATGTAGTTTGAGTTTAAGCATTTTAATTACCGGTCCGATCAAAAGTGCGTTTTTTTCGTTAAAAATCTACCTATGGTCGGTCGAAAAACAAAGAAGCTGAATCAAGATAGTAAAATATTCTAATTTTAAGTCGGGGATTACATACGTTTGTAACTGGTCAAAACTTCCAAATTAATGGTTAGTGAAAACAAGCATTTGTACTGCGATAAAACCTTCCAGCCATCGATATTTTACAAGAAGCAATAATCATTAAATGAAATCCTCACATTTACATGCCAATCATTAGAGATGTTAAGACACTCTAAACGATTTGCGTGAAATTATTGATGGTGTAATGCATCGACGATCTGTTCTATTGCTACATAATGTTTCCTTTTCGTTTCATTCTCCGAACTAAATTCATCACTTCTGCTCTCGTTGATGTGAAGAGCATTACAGTAGGGGTATTAGTTCAAAGCTGTTCAACAATGAGGCATGGAAGATCGTCGTCTATTCATGTCCACATACCGTATACCACACCCGGTGTGGCGGATGGATTCCAACCCTTGATCCAACATTTGAAGGCTACCGTCGTTTTTTGTTGTCCTCGTCTACCTTGGACCTCATCCATGAAGCACATCAATCCTCCCATATACGAACTGAGTCGAACTTCACGCGCTGGATCAGGAATACAACCGAGATAAATGACTCAGTTGATGCCTGCATTGTTAGTCTTGATCAGGTCTCTCCCTCCACCCGTCGCAGGAACAAGGCAAAGAATGGATCAGAGGCGACGTAGGAGAAGAAATGGAATAATGCCGATATCGATCCTTGCCCTCGGATGGGGCCGGCGAAATCTCGAGCTGCGAAGCCGCTAACTGCTCAGTGCGCGCTTGGCCGCCGTGGTGTTCGTGTGTTGTGTTGCACTCTCATTGATAACCTGAATTAATATACATCTATCAGTAGAGGCAGTAATTTCCAAAGCCGTAAATGTTAGTGGATTGATTGCATTATTATATGCCTCGACCTCGTATATAATATATGCCATTTGCCATTTAGAATGACACTTTTTACATGAAAGGATGAACGGTGTTGTTTTTTATCCTGACGAATATTGGATTATTATATATAAAATGGAACTATCATAAATAAATCTTCTTGCTACTGTAAAAAACTGCAAGATTTCTGAAACATTATCCAATTTACTGGGACTAATCATGAAGCATTAGAATTAATGAATGAATTAGCCTGTCGCGTTCCCTAAAATAGGAGGTCCGTGCTAAGAGGTCATTCGTCGCATATTCCATCCCGGCTAGTGTGTGCATTCTGGCCAGCTTATTTACTGCCTACGAATGCTTGTTGATCTTTCATATTTTATTTCTATGTGCAATTTATGTTAGTATGTATAATAGGTACTAATCTTTCGTTATTTCTATGTGCAATTTATGATGGTATTATGCTAATCTATCGTGATAAACTGAAGCTGAAGGTAGCTTGTGTTATTAGCATGGAATTAGGCCTGCTACCAATTTTAGTTTGGAAGAAAGGTAGAATGGATGAACGCTGACATCTAGACAGACGTGTTGACGTTTTTCCGAAGCATGTATCGGTCTGAGGGATGTATTATTAAGGAGCGAGCACAGAGCGTTGCAGAATTATTCCAGCGCACGTTCTCTTACAAGTTTTGAAAGGAGGCAAAATAAAAAAAAAAGTCCTACACACAAGGGGTCGAGCTTCTTGTTGCTGATTCTTACTTTTCAGTGTCAGCAGCCATTGTTTGGTCGTTTCAAATGCTCAATTCAAATGTTTTTATTTATTTTTTCTTGACGGTAAGGCGGCAAAATTGTCCTGAAAGCAAATGTGTCGTAGGTACGTACTCATATTAATAATTCAGATCAGTTTTTGATGGGATTATCAAACATGATTTGATTGCGTTTTGCTTATGATTTTTGTACTTATGAAGCATTTCTTTTAGTCCAGATGTATCGCTATATTTCCGCCCTTCTTTCACTACTTCCATTCAAAGTTCAGAACATAATCGTTCAAATAAACGTTCAATAAACGTTCATAAACCTTCAATGTCGCAACTTATTTGTCCGGTATGTATATTGTACAATGTACATGCATGTAATGTACCGCCACAGGACATGCTACAGTTGTTTCCTGAAGAGACTGTGAGACTGTAGTGCATGACCGTGATATATAATTTATATCTTTTCAATTCCCGCATCCTGGGTTCTCGAAAGATATTTTATCGTATCATGGGATGTCCATGTGGCCGCCCCATGCCAGGGTTTTTATATTTTATGTAAGCAGCTGCTGCTGTTCATATAACTGACGTTGCTTAAGACCGCGAGCGCCAAAATCTTTATAAAGCTATAGATACGCATGCCAGATTCTTATCCATCGTCAAAATACACATACAAACGATGGACGTATTTATTTATTATTCATTGTATTATTTTCGATGTGTATTATTCTAACGGGGTGTACTTTTTTCGCTATCTTTAGTAGGTAAATCTTTTTAAGGAATTGGATTTCCGGTTAGGTTTTTAATAATAACTTGGAGTTTGTGACCTGCATGTTCCATGTAGTTTTCATCAATATAATGCTTGCTATTACAATACTAATATTTTACTCCCGCTCCCAATAGTTCCTTGAACTCACTGATAATCACGCTCATTTTTCTCTCGTTAAATTTAGGGAAGGAAATTTGAGGGCCCCTCGCCTATAAAATAATGTTTGTAGATGAAGGTCTATCGTTTACGAGGCATCCTATCGTCTTTTTTTCTTTTGCGAACCGAATACTCAGGTTTCCGAAGTCAACTGCAAATTATCGATATCGATGAAATTTTACATTTTGATAAGTAGTAGGCAGATGTATTTCTGGTGTTTTGTTAATTTGCATTGAAAGGAAAATGTTCACACGTTTTTTTTCTTTAATTTATTAGATCTTATGCCGCACTACTATAGATCCTTTTTTTTGCAACTAAGTTTAATGATATGAAATTCATAATGTTTAGGACAAACCGCTAGATTTATAAAATTTTGATAGAATTTTGTGTTAATAATTTTGATGAATTTAACGTTCGCAAAAACCTACTGTGCGCATTGGAAGCGTTTTAATTTTCTGTGGTGCAATTTGTCTTTTCTAGACCAACATTTGGCCCCTTGAAAAAAAAAGTATTCTTCAATGAGCTTCATTAACCCTAATTATGTTCTGACTCATACCTTAAAGATCCAGTCGACCTTATCACAAGATGTTTTTCCACGAATTCTCGCTTGAAGTAATGGAATAGTTGGAGATATCTCTGAAATTTCCAGCGAATCCGGCTCATTTATTTTAAGGATGAACTTTTTTGCGTTAAAAATGTTCACATAACTGCGTGTCATTAACAAAATATTTCATTTCCTATTTATTGTTAGTTCATTATTTCGAATTAATAATAATGCCCAATTGTTGCTTGGCGTTTTTCACTTGGTGCTGTATCATAGTTAAAAACCTGTACCCGGTATGTCACTGCACCCACGAGATCGGCAGTCCATTTGAGGGGCAGTCATCCATTAGTTGAAGTTTGTCTCTTTTCCTCAATTAATTTTAATAAAAATAAATGAGGTTGTGTCCATTACTGCGACGTTTTGACCAACATTATTCTTGCTGTCGTCTAGCCTTAAAGTTGGAGCAGCGGGCACTGACACCGACGTCTCTGCTATGAATCTCGTGAAAAATCTTTCTGCGTTATATACGCTCTGAGTTCAGGTTTTTTCAGCGTTACGTACATTCTTGTCTGACAATTTTTCTCCTGTGAATAATCTGGCGTCTAAACATATCAACTTTTTAATTACAACCGTAGACAGTGCAAGATTATTAGCTGAAGGTTATTATTTATGTATGAATAAATTTCGTCCTGATTCCATTTTTCATTGAACTTGGTCTCGTCGAAAGTGGTCTCGCCGAAAGTGGTCTCGCCTTCTTAAATTCGATTTAATGCCAGAGACATGCATTTCCTTATCCATTTAATTAAATTTTCAAGTTAATTCCGTTAAATTTCCTTTTCTAGGTTTGGTCGCGCTCTAGTGCAGGCACAGTTTTATCTTTCCAGACCGTCTCAGCTGGAGCGTTACGATTTATTTTTCGTGCATTCCTGGCTCAGATCTATGAAAGTTTCTCTATCATCTCCCTGTTTTTTGTTCCTAATCCAAATCATGTTAATAATATGTTAAATCCAACTAACTCTATTATAATTTCATGCTTCACAATGCCGTCATTATATTAGCCCTGACCGTACGGCTAGTAAAACCAAATTCCAACTACCGATATTTCTAAAGGATATACATTCATGTTTATATTCCAAACGCTTCATGAAAAAACTGCGGGTTTGACGGTGTGTGCTTCGGATTCAATTCGCTATTCAAATGTTAGTTGTACTTCGTAAAGCCTAATGACCATATTCTGTTTGCATTTACCCCGTGGAAGCCGTCAGGCCAGTTGGGATAAATCTTCCATTAATGTCCATATACCTTTGCTTGTTTGAAAAAACTACTCCGTTTTAAACGTGTTGTTAATCATGTGATGCTGAATAGAGCATCGCTCATCCCTTTCTCCTGTCAACGCCAAGTGCTTTATGAACTACAATTTTTTATTTTCCTGAAAAAGTATACTGAAAGAGAGGAACGAATCGAAGTACAATGACTGTTGGCCGAGTGAAATATTCGTTTAACACGCAGAGTGGCTTAAATCTGAGGAATGAATGCTTGTTTGAAAGTAAATTGGGAAGATTACAATATCCACGGTAGTTTGAACTCCATGGTAATTCGAATTTTATTATTCATGTTTTTAATGGTTGTCATCGAAAACGAGAATGCTTCCGAACGAGTTATTAACCCTTTTCAGCTCAGTGGTACATATATGGTACATTAAACAGCATGATGTAATATTGCATCATACATCGCTCTTGGTTGAGACAAGCCTGAACAAGTGTACTGGAAATGCACAACAAACCTGCTACAACATGTTCATATGAGTACAACCCCTTAGGCCTGCCAGTTTGTGCTCTACTGTCACGTTGAAAAGAAGTATCGCTGTGCTCTGCCAAAAATAATGGCTTCCAGGGGAAAGTAAGTATATTTTGCACATTTCTTTGATAACTAGGTTCTTTTGGTAACTGCACATGTTGAACAAGTAATAAACTGACCTCTCCAGTTAACTTTTACATTTGTCTAATGCATTGTTTTTTCTGGATATCATTTTATATTTGCTGTGCCAAATATGGTTCGCTGAGCTAATGCAGGTACATTTTTTCTGAGTACACATATTTACGAATATCAAAATTCTAGCATGTTCTAAGTCCATTTTATGTTTCATATTTCAGATTCCTGACTATGCATGAGATATTAGGTATATTAGAAGAAGATGAGAGCCATGCAGACGTTTATATTGAGCCTAATGATCCCGGCATATTGACTGATGAAGACTCTGCTGATGAAGTGGATAGTGATAGTGGATTGATAGATAATTTGTCCGGCAGACAACTGACTGGTAATGCTGAAGCTGTATTCAATGACGGACAATGTACAACTGAAGATGATTGTGAAGATCAACTGAGTGGCAATGATGAAGCTTTCTTCCACGACGAACGTAGTACTACTGAAGATGATGGTGAGGCTCATAATTCTTTGCCTATCAATAACTATAAGACTCCAAAATGTAGTCTTGGCACTTCACTCACACCTGGTGACCGCATATTCCTGAGGCAAATTATGCAAAATATAAAAATTTTACTCCACTTGAACTTTTTGAACTATTTTTTGATGATGATGTGTGGAATTTGCTAGTGGATCAGACAATTGTCTATGCAACTTTCAAAGGTGAAACAGATTTGTTGGTAAGAAAAGATGAAATGAAAGTGTTCCTTGGAATTTTGATAGTGTCTGGTATCGTTCCTTTATCTTCTCGAAGGATGTTTTGGAGAAATTCATCTGTGACAAGAAATGAAGGTGTCTCTCGGGCTATGAAAAGAAGAAGCTTTGAAAGGAGCTGGAAGGCCGCCATCCTACTCAACAAAGGGTGACAAACGAGTGTTAGATGATTTCGTTTTGATGGAATAAAACATTATTTTGTAGAAACACAAGACAATAAAAGAAGGATGTAAGAAGGATGTGCTGGAGAAGGATGTAAGATAAGACCTTTCGTTCAGTGTTGCAAATGTAATGTAGGTTTCTGCTTGGCATGTAATCTTCCATTTCATACCAAATAATGATATGTTATGAGTATTTACATTCTGATCAATATCTCGCTTTCTACCTTTTATATGTAAGTCCAACTTAAAGTATTATGTATTTGAAAACAACTTGATACTTGAAATAATGTGTTTGAACACAATGTAACGCTAATTAGAAAATTTGTAGTTCACACGATGGATCTAATATTTGTTTTAGTTTCGCCATTTTACAGTAATCGGAACAACATTGCAAAAAATATTGAAGATGTTATGTTTTATTGTTAATTTTAAATTTGTAATATCCTAAAACTGTAATATAACATGTCAATTTACAAATATATAAGTGCATTTCGGACACGGTTGTTTTTTCTTTCAACAAAAAAAATGTACTTGGATATGCTCAGTGGTACATATATGGCACATCGTATTCTAGCAATACTATTGTAGAGAAAAGCAAACTGAAACGTTTTCCTAATCACTTAGGTAGAGCCAACACCAAAAATTTGATAAAAAATGAAATTTCAAGAAAAAAAATAATTGGGGCTGAAAAGGGTTAATATCTAGAAATGCCGCATAATCCTTTACCTTTTTTGTGTGTATGTTCCAATAAATATTTTTAGTGTTGTTTTTTATCCATAGATTAACAATTTCGATTATTTTAATTGATTGATTTTTAATTTCAAAGGATTGTGCGTTAGACTTGTGAATGCGTTTTTTATGTTAAGTTTAATGAACGATTCATTTTTGATGATGGCCATATAAATCTGTTTGAGACTTGAATAAATTAATACGTACCATACGTTTACCATGTTCCGATCGAATGCATAAAACCTTTTCGGCCCGCCATCGCTACTGTAACGATCATGATGCCTAAATAAAAAATTAAGCACTGCTTTAGACGCACTGAATATCCTCTTAATGCAGGAAAGCTCGACATAAGCGGCGGTCATTCCTTTCAAAACCCTCGTTCTAATTTATTTTTGCTTGGAATACTTGGGCGAATTCGACCATAAACCGTGGTAGTGCAAGATTTTAGAGTTTAATTGTATTAGTAAAACACATTAGCTTGTCTATATTCGTCCAACCTTTACTGTCGTACTTTTTCAAATGTCGCTTCCTAATTCATGGCAATCAATGAATGCCAATTTAATCTAAAATAAACATAACGCCTTACACCTGCTGGTTCTATGAAAGTCTCGATGAAAACGGCTGCCATTTTGTCATCGAAAGCAACTCAGTCCTCAAATTGAGTTTGATTTCAATTTTTCTTTTACCGTTTGGGGGAGAATTTTGAACGTAATGGCGGATCAGCTGGCAGTAGATTAAATTTTAATCCAATCAGCTCCTCTATTTGCAAAAATGAATTCTGTTGAACAATTTCTCATTTTTGAATGTTTTTCTAGCATTAAGGAGGGTTTCCCTGATAACAGTCAATGTACTTTGTATTGAACAGAAAAATGCTCAACATAGTTATGTAAAATATAGGATCATTTTATGCTCGAATCTGCTGATCAATGGAAATAGCATTGGCTGGTACTTGTTGTTCCGTTATTCACGATGTAATTAACGATGTACGATTCCGTTATTCACGATGTACGATTATCTCGTGAATCGAAAATAAAACCGAAATTGCCTGACTGTCCTGCCACCTTTGAGGAATTTAAGTTGAATATGTGAACCGGAACACATGACATACTAAAACAAGATTACTTGTAAATGTTCTGCCAGTTTTGCTTGTAGATACAAGAGCACTGTTTTAATAATGCTATGGGATGTTTTTAGCGTTGAAAAAGCCAAGCATTACTCATGGATTCAGTGGCACTGTCCCATACAGTTCAACCTAGAATTTCACTCTTCCTGCTTTGAAAAACATTCGTTTGCTTCTAAAATCAACATTGTCGAAGTTTATGATTTTTTTAAATGCTCGCTAAACAAGTTGATTTCCAAAGCACACTCGGAATCTTATTTATTTCCAAAGCACACTTTGAATCTTATTCATTCTCAAAGCACACTTTAAATCTCTTATTTTGAAAGAATCAGAGTTCCACATCCATTTCAGTCGGGACCCTCTCGGCACCCTCGCCTGCCCCACACCAGTAGCAGGACCAGCGCTCTATTAATGATCCCCTCGCTTGTTGTGTCGTGCTGCTGAAATGTTAGCTGCGTTTGTCTCTACACTGCAGGTCGATGATCGCTCTATGACTGCAATTTGCTCGTTTTATGGCTCTTATTGTCTATTTAGCACGAAATTGGTTGTTGCTAAGTGACAGTAGTGGGAGTCTTGATTTTGCATTGTTTTATTATTGAATTCATTGCCACCATTATTGGGACTGATGATGACATTGGCGTATAAATGATTTCTTTTACTTCTTATGTATTTCCTTGATTGCTTTGTATTAACAATATTCTTCTGTCAATAAAAACATAACGTACAGGTGCGTAGCAAAGTGCGCTAGGTATTAAGTAAAAGTTTGGGGAGTTGAAGTTTTGTCACCAAGGCACAATATGGTTATAAACCTGCAACTGTCGGCTGCATTGACGTAGCTGATAATACCAACGCTATAATGCTGGATTGTGCGGAAGAAGTCTATAACTACGTCATTGTTATTGCCTTGTGGAGTGTTCGACGGTAAACGGATTCCTCCTAATTACCACGAGGCCAATTGTCTTCTTGATAATTATGAGGCCAATCATGTTTTACTTTTTGTTGTCGAATTCCTTCTCAATTCTTCTCTCACAGCTTCTCACTCCCGCTTGCATGTTGGAACTGCTTGTAGAGCTTTGAGATCAAATGCGTTTTTATGATATTTTCATTCCAAACAATCGTGTTATCAATTAAAATATCCGATTTACTATGTATTTTTCTACCATGATAATTCGCTTGTTCACGCCAAGTTTTTAATGTATTTCTATAGATAATTAAAAAAAAAAATGAAACAGCAAAATTGTGCATTTACCACGTCATGCATACTCTCTTGTTTTGTTGAATGACATAATGGTTAATGCGTCGAACGAGGTCGTAATAAAAGACTTCAATTTGATGAATGATGAGTTGACACTGACGTCTATAATAAGAAATGCGGTCGTATGATGAATGCGTTGAATTAGCTCTTGTTCGAGTATAGCAAATAGTGTGGTGCATTTGGTGTGTGCCGTGCCAACAGGCTTTGTTTTGGCAGGACTGCATTGAAGTGCCTTTGGTCCTCAGTGTTGTCACTGCATCAATTACGAGGGTCTACCCCTCCTGCTAGACCAGGGCCTATACTTCCAAAAAAAGTTTAAGAGATCGTAAGTTCATCAGCCAATCATTGACGGTCTTTCAAGCTAAATCCACCAATCATAGACAAGAAAATAGAGCGTAAGTACTTACGTTCACTTAGGGAGTTTTGAAAGTATGGACCCAGCAGCTGTTGAAGTGCGAAGTTCTAATCGCTGAACGTACTTTGTCGACTGGATGTTCGATGATCTCCCCATAGACTAGTAAAATATTCAAAATAACTGTACCTAAGGAAGCGTACTATCGTAGAAAAAGTTTCCAGGATATTCTTCTAGTTTAACCCGTGAGGTTTTATGATCTCTTGTGAATAATTCGATACGAAAATATATTACCATTATTGGTTTTGGCCTAATATCAGATCCTGACGTATTCTGTGAATGATTTTACATTTAAGATGACCGTGATTCATGACTACTTGTGCGACGTGTTTTGAATATCGTTGCGTTGAATATCTTGCGAGCGACCTTGAAAGAATTAAAAAATCCAAAGAATTTTTTCTATGATTTAGTGTAATTTTATTTAACACATTAAAGTCATCATCTTTTGCTAATTAATTTCAGATATTTCTGCTACAACCTACCGTGCACCTACTGAAAATAAATATAATTTTAAAATTAACGTTAAATTAATCATCGCTGCAAAAATTCGCTGTAATTTACGTCATTAGCTTCATTAATATTAGCCATGAAGCTTTTGCTTATCCAATTATGGACTTAGCCTAACAATGTGCAAATAATGAATAAATAATTCGATTGGTTTGATCATTTATTGGACGTATTTATTTGTAACACATGCTTGCTCCTCCATGCAGTGACGTTTGAGAAACACTTCTAACTCTTCCTCTCATAGTTGTGTTAGTAGGAACATTTGTATGAAATATCCTGGGTGTGGCTTGGTCATTTGCTGGCTCTGATTGGATGGACCGGCGTGACTCTTCCTTTATTTTAGGTTATGCCGTAATTACGGCCTGCGTGCAGCTCTCTCTCGCGTCCATTCATGTTCTTGTTCACCGGGTGGACAAGAATGGAATGGAAATCCGGGTGGACACCTACTACCTGCCTATATATCGCTCCAGCTTAGTGTTAATAATCTGCGAACAAACCCTGTTTATTTTATTTTAAGAAAGTATTTATTTGTTGGAAAAATAATTTGCCAAAAAAATTAAATGCCACAAAAACAAAAGCTGTTTTCTTTACTGTTTTTCTAATCGCTTGATGCGAAAACTATAAACGTATAAATAACTGGTATGTAGCTGGATGCTTGCGAATGAATTATATCCGTGGGAAATGGATTATGTGTGAAATGATGAGCGACAGATTTTTTTTGATGACTTGTTTTCATGCCTGTTTACGACCTCGACTTGTTTTAATGCTGCTGCATTTAGCACCTAACAGCTGTGTGGAGGTGAATAGGGGCAATTTAAAATTGCTGCGTGCCATAGCTTTCCATAAATGCTGGTCACTGCCTGCCCCTAATCATCCCAAAAGTCACGACATAAG